CTCACAGCTAAAAATATGACACAGTTCATCATTTATGGATTAACAATCAAAGCTATTTTCCAGGCATGAGGCAGCACATACTGTATAGGACTGACTCCGTGAGACATTGGTAGACAGAGGGGAGTGCTCGGATGTGTTTGTTTTTAATCGATGAACAAAAATCACAATGATGTCATGACGCTGAGGGCGGGCGAGCAGGGGGGCGGCGAGGGTGAATCTCAGCATTAAATTCCATTTGAATGCTGAGATATACAACAGATGGGGGTTGGCTCACATTTGTGCTGAAGGATCACATCTGATTTGTAAAATGGACATGCTTATTTTCTTACACGGTATCCTGTTAAACTAATTATTTGATGAAGTAAATGATTTTTAAACGGCTATCAAAATAATAATGACACAGAGAAAAGCCAGCCAGGCCATACTTTCCCCACTCCTATTATAGATTTTATTACAGTGAAGAATGAATTGAAGAATAACACACTTGTGAATACATTACAACATCTCATCGCAACACCGTCTGTCAGCTGCATAAAAAATTCACCATATCTCTCTCCTGGTAGTATGACATGTTTAAATAGGCAGAATGAGAGTTGTGACCATGACTGTGGCACTGTGTTGATGTTTTCTTTCTACTCATTAATCTCTCTGCAGCTGCACCCAAAAAAAAAAAAAAATAAGATGGTGCCTGCAATCACACAGACTCCGCTGGCCAGTAGCTAACTGACCATCGCTGGCCCCGCGTCCACTCCATGACATCCAGAGCTGCATTCAGGCGTGTCAGCCTTGACCGCATAAAACGCAGCAGCTCATGACTCCATGCAGAAAGTATGAAAACAAAGTCAGTATGGCAATAGGAAGAGCAAAAACCTTCCATCCACCCATGCATTTTCTGTACTGCTTATCCTCACGAAGGTCATGGTCAAGCTGGAAAAAAAAATCGCTGGGTAGAAAACAGCTTTATATTTCACCTTCAAGGGACAACATAAAAAAAAATATATATATATAGGATGAACTGCAGGGGAAAAAAAACATTTCATCATGAATGCTTGTGTATTTGCAGCCAACTTAGTCATGTTGATAGTAGGCTAATATCGCTAACATAGATACATACAGCATTTGTTGCCTTCATTACAAGGCTTTTTTTTTTTTGCGGCTCCAGACATATTTGTTTTTTGTTTATTTTGGTCCAATATGGCTCTTTCAACATTTTGGGTTGCCGACCCCTGCTCTAGGGTTTAATCGAACCCAGGTTAAGAACCACTGGTCTAGGTATATACAGTATTGCATTTGAAAATGGCTAGTTGCTTTTGAGATTGATTGGCATGGGGAAGGGGAGGATGGAGTGCTATTACAAAAGAGGGTACAAGAGATGAGGGTGACCTGCAGGAATATGGGGAGGAAGAGCGTGGGAGGGTCCACTTGATGGGTAGGCTGTAGTTAAATCGCCCAGGGCGACACCTTGTTGAGATAACAGAGCCCTATCAGTGCCGGGAGGGCATGATGGGAGGGAATCACCATCTCTTTCGGAATTGCCCTTAGCATTCCGAAAGAGTGTGTGCATGTTACTGTGTTTCTGAATGCATGCGACTCAACCTGCAGCTACTCAGAACACACATGCACAATAAATAAATAAATAAATACAAATTCAGCCCTGAACTTCAAGGTGCTGGGATGGACCACCACGGTTAGTTAGACAGAGACATGATCCGTTTGCTGATCAGAGGTGAAGGGGCAACCAAGTGGAGAAAGAAGCGGAAGGTTTCACAAATATGTCACCCACAGTCAAAAAGGGAAGAACCAAGTACCACAGTGAAGCAAAATGGTGATATGGGGGAGATGGTGGTCTTTTTTTTTTTTTTTTTAAGACGACACTGGTGCTGTTCTCTCCCAACTCACTTCAAAGGCCCGTCATTAAAGCGCTGCCTGGAGAGGAACACCCTGCCGCCCCCCCATCCCACCCCATCCCCCTCTCGCTGCTCATCCCCCTTTTCTTCACTGTCTGTCGAGCTGCCTCGCTCACTCTGCTCATCACCGGCCTCCACTCAGCCATTAAGAAAACAGCCTGTGAACAAAATAAGTGAGAGAAGGGCAGTGTGAGGAAGAGATGGAGCACAAAAGGGTGACAGATCAAACACCTCCGATGAGTGATAACCCTTTAATAGGATTGCATGGCTTTTGTTGTTGCTCAAACTCAATGGGTGCATAAATTTGTTATCGTGTCCCAATGAGAGATTGAAAGAATAACTCAATATTTTTGTGATCATCGGTCTTTGATAGAAGTTATTCAACAGTTATGCTAACAAACATCTGAGCTGTCTTCCGCGTTGGGTGGCTTCTGTTTCCATCTTCCTGCTTGAGACTGATCCCATCGAATATATTTTCATTTTGCCATTTTTTGTGACCTTTTTGTTGGCCTGTGTTTTTCTCACGTCTGCTTATTGAGTTCATTTCTACAGCAGGCCTCCACTGCGGCAGAGATTCAGCCACTGAGCTAAGGGCATCAACAACAATCAACCGAAAATGAAAATTGAGAATTATCAACATCGAAAGAGCGGGATGTTAGATGCCGCTTGTTTAACGCATCTAATTAGATGGTGCAGGTGCACCTCCATTTTCCACAACGAAAGTCTTCATATTCCATTCCTCTGATCTTTTTCACAGAGAATTTAACATTATCACAACCTTAATCAAAAAGAGCGTTTTTGTTGCCCTCAGCAAATTGCCTGCATTTAAATCCAACAACAATAAGCTCGAGAGACCTTGTGCGGAGTAGTGTGAGTGGCTATTTTCAAGGGGAGGCAAGTTGGCACACTGGCGAGCATTATCAGTCATAACTCGGTGATTAAGTGGCAAACAGAGCGCCGTTTCATTCCTCTAATTTGGTGGTTGTGTGCGCTATGCGGTTTATTTGCTCGTTGAAAATTGTGCTAATCCCGCCACATGCAGCGTAGCGCTAACATTTGTCATCTTTGCTAGCAGGGCTTTTAATTTTGCTTCAAGGTTGTTAAGTGTCAAGTGGCTGGTACACGCAGAGGCACATTTCCACAGTGAGTGGCAAAGCTATAAAGAATGCATGAGAAGTGACTGAATGCTCAACTATACAGTCAGACCCGGGAGACAGAAACGGGAGGACTTAAAGACAGCTCGAGTACCAAGTATTACCTTGACGTATTCTTATTAGCGCGGTGAAATCGTGGTTAGCACGGCTGCCTCGCAGTTGAGAGTCCCAAAACATGCATGTTGCTACATGAAAGACTCAAAATGTTAAGACCGGCTTCATGTGAACTTTTTTAACCCTTTGAGGGACAGCGAGTGGTTACTACAGTGGACAGTTTATCAAGTTATCAGGTTAGAGCGGGGGTCGGCAACCCGCGGCTCAAGAGCTCTTTAGCGCCGCCCTTGATAAGGCTTTTAATTTTTTGCGGCTCCAGACATATTTGTTTTGTGTTCTTTTTTTGCTTGCAACATTTTGGGTTGCCGACCCCTGGGTTAGAGGGTGCGCGAAAGGGTTAAGTTACTCCAATCTAAATGACTGCTTTAGTGTTTTGACATCCAGCTGAAGGGATGCATCTTGTGTTTGAAGGGTTATCCTCATTGAAAAGTATGTACGGTCGACCCTATCGGGGAGGAACTTGCAATTGGGGTGGAATGTTCTGGGAAGCATTCCAGTTGTAAGCAACGCAGATTGAATCGTTTCTTGACCGGCCGTTAAGCAACATAAGACAACAGCTGGACTGAAAACTGGGTCATCTCATACAGTAGTTTTAAGAACATGGCTGAAAAAAAAAAAGATTCTGGATGTTGTCAAAGGGTGTGGTTATTTTTTGGGGTGGGGGGAATTCTTGCGAATTGTTGTAAAGCAACTTGAAGAATGATGACGTGGTGTAAGGATCGGCTTGGCACATCGGTCGAGGGAAATGTGAAGTTGTTTCTGGACTTTAGACTGCTTCTCTCGCCTGCACGGGTCAGCGAGGCGCTGCATGTCCGGCCGAGTCGGAATCTGGCTTAAAGGCTCCAGCCATGGGATTTTATGAAGCCTGACAGCCTGTTTGTCTTGGATGGCGTTTCTTTGACATTTCTGCACGGTTTGATGCTGACTACCAGTTTATAATCGGCAGCCTTATTAAATTAACTGCAGCTCCAAAGAGAACAGAACAAAGCAGGGTTGGGACAAAAGATGGAAATGGAAAATAAAAGGGTAATTAAAAAAAAATCTAAATTTGAAACTTGTACGTTCGGTTGACACCATCGCTTCCTGACAGAACTATTGTATAACCTTGTGACGGTCACATTAACATCAACAAACAACATTTGAAGTCTGGTTGCACTTTGACAGGGCAAACAAACATGTCCCCTGTGCTCTCAACGCAGCAGCCAGGTTGGGAAACGTAATTATTCTGCTTTGCTGATTGGTTCACTCCTCCGACACCCACTATCCAGTATAACAGAAAATTCAAGTCTTTTACTTTCACGAGAAGGTCACACACAGCCCGTTAGCTTTTTATGGCTTTGCTTCTATTCAGGTTTGTGTTTGCCACACACCAATCAAATGGACGTTATTGTGTAGCAGAATTCCATCCAGCAATATTCTTCAGTTGGCCTTGCCATGCTAGCATGCAGTAGTAAACAATGACCGGTTGTTTCCACTGTGGGATTGGTAACCAGGGCGATAGCAACAGCGTGAATGTAAATAACATGCAAATAGGTGAAAAAAATGTGACAAGCACAGTAAAAAAAAAAAAAAAAAAATGACAGCAATTTCTGCCCTGTAATATGGCATAAGGATATTTTGAGACAATGCCAATAGGTGACAAAAAAGTACTTTTATTTAATTGAGTGAAAATACGTAAAAAAATAAAATAAAATGTAACGCCGATGTCAAAGTGCACCCCGTGTACAGAAAGTAAACCTGATGCCCTCACCCACCCTCTCTTTTTTTTTTTTAAATGTCCAATCACATGTCGGTAGTCTAAAACAAAGTTCACAAGAGCAATTAGTTATTAGGCCACAATGTTTATTCAGTAGTGTTGTTTCAACTTATAGGTACAATACTGTCAGCTTTTTGTAAGACTAAAAAAAAAAAAAAAAAAAATGTTACCATTACAGTCATCCATGCACACTGAATGCCAGTCAAGCTGTTTCGACCCCCGCCTCACGCTCACTGTGAGCATGATCTTATCCAAATGGTAGGCACTTTGAAGGTTTAAAACATTTGTGAATATACATTATATATACTGTATTTATATATCTTTCTATATACTATCAAGCTATTGGAAGGTTAGGCCTCTTTAATTAAGAAAGAACAAACAAACGGAAAGTGGAAAAGAAGAGAAGTGGCCATGGGGGGGATAGTAGGCTTGGAAGTTGGAATACTGTGAGTCTTTGGGTTTAAGAGAAAAACAAAAAATGGTGACTGTCATACTTGTGTCGAACCTTCCACCTGTGTCTTATTGTATCTGTGCTGTTTGTTTCAGTGGTATGTGCTCCGCATGTGGCCTGGTGTTCGCGTCCAATGAGGCCTTTCACTGAGCAGGTCTTTGGGCCCGAAGCGTCAACATGGGCACAAAGCAGGAAGTGGGGCAGGCCATTGACAGCTTAACTGGCCATGCTCCAGTCGGACTAAAAAAGAAGGTGGGCGGGATGGTAAACAGAGGGAGAAAGAGGCCGAGGAAGGGTAGAAGGACGCTAGTTTGGCGAGGACGCGGTCCGTTAACACATTGGGGGAAGATGAGACTTCAGCCCCCCCCCCCCCCCCCCCAAAAAAAAAAAACAATAGTGTGCAATCTGAAGGGCAAGCCTTTTTTTATCGTCTTCTTTTTTTAGCACACTGACAACTCTTCCTCCATCTTTGACCAATTCCTGGGTTTGAAAACAAAATGCTGCCCCCCCCAAAAAAAAACCACAAACTGCGGTGGATAAAACAAATAAACAAGACTTGATGTCATGCTCACCTTTGTTTCAAAAAAAAAAAAATGGGCGCGAGAGCAAAAAAGAAATTAAACATTGCAACCTGAAGGGAGGAGATTTACATTGACTATTAACAGCGTTAATATGAAGACCAAAGCGCTTCATCAAAACTACAAAGGCATTTTTCAACATCAGAGAAAAGATAAATTAATGTCATACAACTTTAGAGATCAACATCAGACATGCTAAGACAAAATTAAAAAAAAAAAAAAAGGAAAACCATAAAAGCGGGATTGATACAGTATAATTATATTCAATTATTTCCACTTTTGATTTTTTTTTCTTTACACATACTGCTACAGTTAAAAGTAGTCAGTGACTAAACACAAGCTCCTTTGACAGAAGACAGATGCAGTTGATTTTCTCACCTTTACAGATCCTGTTTGTGATATCTTTTTAAAAATCTTTTTTTTTTTTTTTTTTTACACAGTACACTGACAGTTGCCATAAAATGAGGAAAGCTTGTTTGGGAAAGAAAAAAGGTGGTGGGGGGGGGGGGGATCTTAAGAACAATATGCTATGCAAAAGCTTTCCGTTATGCTATTTTTCCATGAATCAACATTGTAACGTATTGTTGTTTCTCATGTTCGCTGCTGCCGGGCGCTGCCGCTCGGGCAGCCTCTTGTGATTTGTTGATCCCATGACTGGTGGGGCGGGGCTTTTATGCATAAAACTCCTTGGTCGGGGCCTTCTGATAGGCTGCGCCGGAAGGTTTCCTCTCACCCAGGTCATAGCTGCCCTCGTCCTTCTTCCTCATGCGGTAAACCAGGAGTAGGATGAGGAAGATGGCGAACAGGAATCCAATCACCCCGCCAGCAATAACAGCTGACAAGCACACAAAGAGGAGGTTATTTCGATGAGAAAATGTCCACCAATTCACCTCGTCCGCGCTGACCGCGGCACTGCCTACTAATGATACGAAACGACCACAATTAGCTCATTTCGGTCAGCTCTCCCAAATGGGCCTTTTTATCGTCCTACTCAATTGACGATCTCTCATGGGGCCTCAATGTACTCTCCGCTCCCTTTGGCTTCCATAAGTTGACCGGCCCCTCGGCCCTCTGGGTAAAGAACCTCACCAGTGGCCAGTTGCGAAACTTGTGGGGGGGAAATACCATATTTCCCGCACTATAAGGCGCACCTAAAAGCATTCAATTTTCTCATTTTCTGCGCCTTATAATCCGGATGCGCCTTATATATGGATCAATATTCTGATTTCTTGGACGTAGTATTTGAAATGTTCTGTAAAGCCCTTTGTTACAGCTGCAGCCGTTGTGAAAGCTCTATGTAAATCAAGCTGGATTGTATTGTATTCTCTTTAGCATAGCTCGCTCCATCTAGTGGAATGCTAACACAACCGCAGCCACTATTGTAGCTTCTATTCTATGCGCCCTATATAGGAAAACAGTTTTAAAAATAGGCCATTCATTGAAGGTGCGCCTTGTACTCCGAAGCGCCTCACGGTGCGGAAAATATGGTAACACACGTGGGGCTTGAATATAATTGGAATAAAATAATGGTCTATTCTCTGTAAACGTCATGCACGAGTGCTAGTTGTAAAGAGAACCAAAAAGCAAAGATGGACAAGAGCGCAGATGACCACGAATAATTTCATCTTTGAAGATGGAATCTCAGTTAACAATCAGCCTTCCAAAACGGCACACACTAGATAAAAATGTGCCGATCAAAAGAAGCGAGACGCGAGGCAAGCTGTCAGCGGGCGGCTGAGCCGATCAGCACAGGGGTTGATATAACAACAAAGCGGACGGGAGGTGCCAATCAAATGTTTTAACTCCAGACATGCAAGGGAGGAGACAGATGGGATCAGATGGAGCACGGTATCCGTGTTCTCGAAACCCAGGCAGAAGGCGCTTGAAACGCCCACACCGGTATGAACTCTATAAGGTCCCATGGAAGAAGACGGAGAGAGTTTATTAAAGGCGTTTATTTTGAGAAGTGGATCAGGTGGGAGACTTAAAGGAAAAGACGATTGAGATTCCATGCCGATAATATCCCGACATACCACAAATGACAAGAAATGGAGAAATGAACTACAAGCGCAATGACTGAATTCTTTGTCAAAAAAGGGAAACGCCAACATTCGGGAGCTTCTAGTTCGAATGAGTTTTTTTTTTTCCCCCAACCCTCGTTTGTCTTATTTGTTCACAATGGAGTTGTCACGTTTGTTTCTCAAATCCATTTTTGTAACTCAATATTTTAACTTTCTTGACAATGGAAGACCTGACACACATTTGAGCAGACCTTCGAAAACCGTTTCAATTTCTTTAAGGTGTAACATACCTGCCAGCACCTCCGTCCTTTGGAAGAGGTTCTCGGTGCGGACCTCGATGGGCTCTTGAGGCGAGCCTGGGTTGCTGGTTGTACTGGTCATCTGGTTCCTCTGCATGTCCTCTGTAACCGGCACTGGTGGGGCCTGGATTTAGAATGGATATGTGAGAGAAAAGGAAAGGAGAAGTGACAAAAGGTACAGGGGGTAAATTAGGTCAAATGTAGCTAGCTTGTGAGTCTGAGAAATGACGTAAGGAGGAGGACAAATTCTCTGATACAATCACTGAGGACTTCATCGATTTGCTTGCTGGTAGTCAAGAGTTTACTCGGTTGTCAACGCGAAGCAGGCCTACATCATGTAGGCCGGCTAAAAATTTCACTGGAACGCATCCAAGTTGCCTGCGTTGATTAGCATAGCCTAGCGACGTCTGCGTGAGGAACGGTTGCATCTGGGATGATTCAGGTTGGAGTTAGGGTTATCCTGTGATTTTTGTGTCAGTGAGACAGCAGGTAGGCCACGCTTTAGTGAAGCCTTGGCAACTAATCTCAAACAGATGTAGGATCCTCTCTAGTGTATTAAGAGCATGGCACACAAGTGAGATGTAGCATGGCCAGAGTACGCTTATCCTAGGTCATTAGCGCCAACGTTAAGCTTTTTCAGGAGAGTCACCTGATAATGTGTCGTTTTTAAAATATATATATGTATTTTATAATATTATATGTATGTATGTATGCATGCAATACGAGAGAGAGAGAGAGAGGCTAGCCCAAAAAGGTTGCCGTGACGATATAATCCTGGCACATCATTTTGATTAACATTTGAGATCAGTTCAATGTTTTGTTTTGTTTTTTATAATGAGCAAACTACATATAAGTTGTGACAGGTTCTCCCCTGACCCATCGTAATTTCAATTTTGAAATGCAGTGATTGACAGCAATGATTAATAAATCTCATTCAATGCCAAGAACATTTTTTTAAATTTAATTTAATTATTTATTTATTTTTAAAGAATCCAGACATGCCCTGCGATTGGCTGGCAACCGGTTCAGGGTGTCCCCCGCCTATTGCCCGAAGACAGCTGGGATAGGCTCCAGCACTCCCTGCGACCCTCGTGAGGATGAAGCGGATTGGAAAATGGATGGATGGATGAATCCAGTCATTCAATCCCAGGTATGTCTTTATGTATTTTGGAAAGAAGAGTCTGAAAATAGCTGCCACCGAATGAGTTCAATTCTAAAAAGCTGCTTTATGTGTGCGGGTTTTTGAACGTTGTAACGTTACCATGAGAACTGTGCTGCTCGCCGAGGGGCATCAACAAAATCGTTTTGTTTTGTGATTGCATTTGTATATGATCTCTGGTACTTTATATGATTCCATTTCACGTGCAGAATCATTCATCAATCACTGCTGACCTTTTTGGTTCACATGTATGTCATGAAATCACAAGACTCCGCATGACTGCAACTTTTGGTGAAGTTAGCTCCTCCAGTCAATTATTCATTTGAAGCACCACCTTAAAGCAGAGTCTGGTTTTCAGGAGCCTGGCAGCAAATCAACCGAACAACCTGTTCCCACTATTGTGTCATCCAAGGATTTCCTTGATTTAGAGACTTGTAAATACAAAAGGCAATGGCCCCCGTCAACTGACCTCTGTTCTGAATGGCTTTTTAGATGCGCCGTCGCCGGCCTTTTCTCTGACTGTAGCCGCCTCCACCTTCGTGATGAAATCTTTGGTGGAGTCCTTGGTGGGATCTACTGCCTTGGGTGCGATATACACCATACTGACGGTCACTACTTCTTCGGCCACCTCTTCACCCGCACCTGAGAGAGGGTGAGATAAATATTGATATCAAGCTGTTGCGCTCAAACTGTTTATCTCTTAACTCGCATGACTTTATTTCGACTTGTACTTGTACAATGTTTGTATGTTTACACCTTAAGTGTATATTTCTTACCTGAGCCAGACCCCGAGTTAAAGTCATCGTCGTCTTCGGGGTAGTAACCTCCCGAGCCGGTGTCATCCAGGTATAAGTCGTCAGCCTGCGAGGAAGTCTTGGCTGCCTCTGCTATCTGCAAAACAAAGAAATCGGAAGCTATCAAAAATTGTGACACGACAGCACCCCAATGCACTGCTAACGTATTAAAACGGGTCACCTCCCGCCACTACTGTCTTGAAAACTGGACCGATTGGTGGGAGTGTTTGTATTGTCGGCTTAATGGCCGCATGGTCTTGAAAAGGCTACAAATCAACATAGTGCGTTGGTTTGGAAAAAAAAAAAGAAGTCAATTAACCCTTTCATGCACCTTGTAATCTGATAACATGATAAACTGTCCGCTGTCGTAACCGCTGTCCCTGAAAGGGTTGAAATTGAATACAAAAAATGAACAACTGCGCTCTTCAGAAAAAAAATGATCAAGTCTTGTATGCATGATGTGCAGCAGATAGATGTTGGATTTTTTTTTTTTTTTTTTAAATACGCGTGCAATGTATGTGTTGTGTTGTGCGTATGTGACTGGAATGGTTATAACGGCATCCATGGCAACATCCATTCAGGTCTGATTGACTAATCTGCAGTCGGCTGTATTGGAGCTTCTTGATACTAATAGTCCTACTCAGAATGGAAGGAAAAAAAAAAGAAAGAGCACATATAACAAAATGCCATCCCCGTGTGGATCCGTTTACTACAATTCCAGGTCAGCTCGAAGGAAGTTGCCCTGATAAACTTGAGGCTGAAAGACGTCAGATTCGAGGGAACCGTCAATTGGCTTGACAGAAACACCAATGAGGGGGCTTTCTTTTGTTGGCCGCAAAGAATAGACATGCTGCGAGAAAGCCAAGGAATTGGGTAATGAGAAATTAGACCACACTAAAGCTATGTTTGGGCGGACATAATGTGCAGATGGGCAAAAAATAAAAAATGTAAAAATTTGACGACACTGTCAGCTTTTCAAAAATAATTACCAAGATGAAAATCCTGGACTACTGCACATTCGCGTTTATTCAAAACAGACATAAAAAAGGCGGCTTTTGTTGACAAATATTCACATGCGTCTAAACGGTGGTGCTTTTAAGTAATTGTGCAAATTGCGTTTTTGTCTAGCACGATGAAAGAGAGGCGCTGGCGACTCTCCATGACAAAAACGTTGGTCCACAGCGCTGAAGGGGCTAAAAAGTGAAAGAGACGAGGAGGCGAATATTGAAACAGAACAATGACTCAGTCAAGTGACTTGCGAAAGAAAGGCTCTTCATTGCTCAGCCGCCTGATCAAAGAAAGAATTTGTTCAAAGCAACTTTATCTCAACCTTACTTGCCTTTTATTCCTTTCGACCCCTCCCCCATTACTCCCGTCAATGCGGCCGACCTCGCAAAGCCATTCAGTGTTCTGTGTGCTCCACAGGTCAAAATGCATCGCTAATAATATGAGCACAATGGGGCAAAACAAGGCAAGGGGGCCCGTTCACATGGCGACAAAAGATGCTAATGAGATCGAGGGCCACACACGCGCACAACGAGAAACAAATGAAAGTATTTCCGTCGTTCATTGATCCGTGAGCGCGGGAGAGCAAGCAAGCGTTTTAATTTGACGCCGCGTCGTTATTCAAGTCTGCTTATGCTTGCCGTTATTTTTATTTTTATATATGATATATATATAAGAAGAACAAAATACTAAGTGGAGCATGAAGAGGTTTGAATCAATTCTTCCTTGAGTAGAGCATCAAGATGTTTCAATCAATTCTTTCTTTTCACCACTAGTTATTCACTATTCTTCCAAATCCAAAAGATACTGCCAATGCTTAAAGCGTTTCCGCGCTTGCCGGCGAACGCTGTTTTCCCGAACAACAGGTCATGCGGAATTTCGGTGGAAGGGTTTCTCCCGTTTCGATAACGAAACCAGGAACATTACGGCGGATGTGGACGAAGGGAGGAAGGCTTCCTCGGCTATTATCGACTTGCCAACACAGCGTATTGTAATTCGCTGCCTTGACGGGGTACTAAAAGGCTGACTGAGCACTGGTGGAATAAACACAAACCAAAAGGCAAGAAATGAAGAAAAAATGTTTCAATATCACAACAATAGCACAGGCAGGAACGCCGGTGATTTTCCACGAGCCTGGAACAAAGGTGTCAAGTTTAAGAGCTGACACTCACTTCTCCCATCCTGTTGCGTCGAAAGCAATTATCACCGTAAGAACTGTAGATATCACACACGGATGCCGGTGCTGACCTCACCGCGCGGAAAGTTCACACAGACGTCACATTAGCCCGCTTCAATTAGTCTTGTCTGAAACGTACAGGTGGAGAAATTCCAGATCGTCCGTGACGGATTTGAAGTGCTAATTTTGCAGTACCACTGCGTGAGAGGTACTTTTATCGTAATAAGAAGACCCGAAGCTAAAAGCAACCTTTTAAACCAATGCGAATGAATCACCAGCAAAGCACATGAAGTCCTTTGACACAAGTTTAAAATTAAAAAAAAAAAAGATTGTGAGAAAAATAAACGTCATAAAACGAGGAAACAGACAACTTTCTCCATCACGTGATGTTGAGGCGCAGACATTTTCAATAAACCGAGCTCTTTTTATCGGACTGTTGACATTAGCAGGTAGTGACTCCATTCCGCTTTTATCGCTGGATTAGCCAGCAGTCCGGCTAATGTCGAGCGGGCACCAGAAGCCTGAGCTACGCCACGGCAGCTCTATTTTTACAGCCATTGAACACTCATTTCACTCACTCACATTTTTTTTTTTCAGTTTGAATACAACAGAGTGAAGAGTTTTTCGTTTGTCAAGTCGTCACTGAAGACTGTTTATGGGTGAGTCTAAAAAAAAATATATATAAATAAATCCATCATCCACAACATTGAAGAGAGCGCTTTCAGTCCGCCGTCAAGAGTCGCTCTTGGAGCGCACCTTAAGCTATAAATGTCCGCCATTTAGAGAGAAGAGGGCTCAAAAGCAAAAGGAAGGAGGAGGCAAACATGCTCTTGGCTAAAGGCTCATTGTGCAGTAGAGCGGGCGCACAAAGGCGCACATTTTCAAACCTTGAAGTCAAGGCTCTCTCCTTCACAAAAACGCCCATAGAAATGCACCACTTACCCAAGACATATGTTCTCAACGTACCAAAAAACATGACAACTGTTGAGCAAAATGATTTTTTATAAACCAATGTGCAAGGTCTGGGGCATGAAAGTCCTGGATCTTGAACTCCCAACTGGATTCTTGATAGTTTTCATGGAAAAAAGGTAACAACAAAGAATCGAAATCTGATTGGAGGCTCTTTGGTGAGACGTACTGTAAGTCCTTTAGTGTCATCATCAAGCGCCTGCAGGGCTGGAATTTTGATGAACTGCTCTCACCAACGGCACAAATATGAACTCGGGTCAGGTCAAAGGGAATGGTGATTGTCAAAATTCACACAGCCTCATCTGGCTCTCAAAGGCCTGAGATGAATACATGTACACGTCAAAACTGGGACTTCAGAGGGAGGATTGGGGCGGAGGGGGGGACAAGTGCGAAAGGGCTGGCAGACAGGGATCCTCCTCCAGCCGTCTGCCGCACTCTTGATGTTTCAACTCTGTCTTGGAGTCTACCTCATGACTTAGAATCTCTGACGAGACCTCGAGAGGGAGAGAGATCTGTCACTCTGTTTTGAAACACAAAGTGACGAACCGTAGTTAAGAAACTGGAAACTTACACGAACCCTGCGCCTCCTTGGAACATGTTTGGCCCTTACAAAAACTTCCAACCTACTCCTGTATTCATTCAAAATCTGCAACACTGGCTTGGGATGATTTTCGAATGCCGCCGTCACATATGCTGACATGCCGGCAAAAAGCTGACTTGAAGTTACAGATGCGCGTGTGTGCGTGGTGAGTGACGTTACGCTGAATAAAGTACATACAGAGGCACAAACGTGTGCAAATATGGGTTAAGTATGTCTGCCGTTGCGCTCTTTGAACCCACTCAAACTTTTATAGCTCTCCCGGGGATCGTAATAAGGAACTAATTGATGGTCTTTGAGCTGCCGGGCCCAGGAGAGCGGGAGTTCCTGTCGGAAGTCGGCACAAATCAAACTCGCTTTGAGCCCGTCGGGTCTGGAGCTCCTGCGGCACTGAGTGCGCGTGAGAGAGCTACGGAGAGCGTAACAGAAATATACGGCACATCCCCCACCTTGAGTTGACATTTTCTCTTTAGTATTGTTAGACAAACTCACAAACCCTTTCCCCGCGACTCTCCCTGCTCCTGGTGTTAGATCACATTGCCTCTGTAGTTGAAAGTCCCCCCATCCACCAGACAGCCAATTTGGCACACTTAACGGAACTCTGCAGGGCGACTCAACGATAGTTACACGCCCCTCTTGCTCATAAACAACAAACACGCTAGCCACAGCAGTTGAGTTGCACAGTGAAACTCCTCTACAACGAAATCATGTTTGCAGCAAGACATTTTTCACAACAAGGGGTTTTTCACTGTAGCAAATTTGATCTCAGATGTAAACACATACACACACACACACACACACA